ATTTAATGTTATTTTGAACGTGCAGTGTGTCGGATTCCGTTGCTTTATTGTTAATTTTTTTGTTGTTGTCGCGTCCATGTGGGCGTGTCTGTCTGTTAGCAAAATATCTCTCTCTCAAAAAGTAAAAAGTGATGTAGCTGACATAACCTTTTTGGTGTAAAATGGTTGCCACAGTCAGACCTTGAAAAACACAACATGAGACAGTTTCCCAGTATTGTGCTCAAACCTGAGACTGGTCCCCAACACATAACCTGGTTTTCTGCATGAGACCACACAGAGCTTTGTTTCCAATTTGAACTTTTATCAACAACTGTCAAATTTGTTTGTCTGTTAGCAAAATATCTCTCTATTTTATTCTGTGAAGAACATGGAACCGGTCAACTGGTGCAGTCTGATTGTCAATGGGTTCTCTGGTTAATGGACCTAAAAAAACACATCATAATTCAGGCAGTTTTACAGATATTGTGTTAAAATCCGGTGAGGTAAAAGAATCATTTACAAAACAGAATACTCAGCTTCAACATTTGAATTAAACCCTGTTTATTAGCAAAATAGACAAACAAGAATGAGACTCCCAGAAAATGGATGTCCATTTCCTCCACATTAAGTCAACAGTTCAGTGTGAATTATCAGCTGAGTCATCCCCAACACAACATCTACAATAACATAAATTTGCATAAAGTTTTGACTCCAAAAGCTTCTCCAGTTAAGATTTCTAAAACCACAGTGGTGATATATATACATGCCAGGCCTGTGTGTTCATATCACATGAGCCATTTGTGAAATCCAAGCCTCTGGATCTGTTCAAGTTGGCCCAACCCCTGCTGTCAGTCCTTGTTTCCATCCTCCAAAGGTCAGTGCGCATCAGCCCGTAGCTGTGAAGATGGGACCACCCTCTGCCCCCCCCCCCCCCCCTCCCCACACGTCCTTTCTATTTCAGAGCCACCACCAGAATCCTTCCGACATGAAAAGATAAAACAGAACAAGCCTGGAAAATAACAACAGGCCTTTTTTCCCTCTTTGTTTTTTGTTTATTTTAGCTTTCAGCAGTTAATCTTTTTGATAACACACACACACACACACACACACACACACACACACACACACATACACACACACACACACACACACACGCCCTCTCACACATACACCCGGCCAGGCTTGTGGGGCTAAATGCTAGCGTGTCAGCTGGCCTGTCAAACCANGTGTGTGTGTGTGTGTGTGTGTGTGTGTGTGTGTGTGTGTGTGTGTGTGTGGGTAGAAGACGATTTGTCGGCTAGAGCACTCATGCTTTTATGAATCTCTGCAACACATTCAACCTACTTTAGCCTCTCAAAGAGTTTTGAGCAGGTCAGGCGCACATCTATCGTTTAAAACTAAAGTAAAAACTTCAAAATCATTCTTTTGGAAACACAATTTTATGGGGCACAAAGTGCAAAACAAAATGTTAAAAAAAATTTCACCAACATACCTGTCATTATTTAGCACACATTTTGAGTTTTAAAAAAATTCCACTAACATTTTATTGTTATTTAGCTCACTGCTCTCCGTACATTTAGTTAATTTTTGCTAAATGTTAAATTTGAATGTTGTAAAATATATTTACATAATAAATCCTATTTATAATCCTATATATCCTAAATCTAAATGTTTAAATCTAAATGTAAAAGCTAAACCTTAAATATTGAAGTTAAACGTTAAAGTTCACATTCAGGTATTTTGGAATGGAACGCAGCCTTTGCTGTTGGTGCTTGGCTTATAGTATGATGTCATCATCCTGAGACAATAGCAACCGCTAGCGCGCCAATGCAGCTAAAGCTTCTCCACAAGACATCAAACTTGCAGTTATGGCTGGTGTTTGAGCTGCACTTCAAACACTTAGATTTAGGATTTAACATTTAAATATAATTTTTAACATTTAGATTTAATGTTTAGTAAAAATCAGTAAATGTAAGAACAGTGAGCTAAATAATGAAAAATATGAAACTTTTTAACATTTCATTTTACATTTGGCGCTCCATACTACGTATAGTCTTCTCTTTTTCTTTCTTTTGATATGCTAATAAAATGCCCTGTTTCCAACTTTGATTTTCTATATTCTGAGGCTGAAAAGAGGTTGTTATCTCTTTCAAACATCCCCTCTCTGGTTTTCATTCACACATCTACACATTCATTCACATTCACATCGCCAGAGTGACAGGGCTGACAGATAACCATCAGGGCTTTGTGTGCTCTAATTAAACTACTCCGTGATTTTAGAATTTCAATATGAATGTGTGCTGGCTGGCTCCTATCAGAGGCTTTTTAATTAGTCCAGTCAGCATCAGCTCCTTGTTAAGCTCTGTGTAGAGTTATAAAGGCTAATGCAAACAATGAAAACTATTAGGTGAGTGTGTCTGTGTGACAATGTGTAAAATGATGCAGGTTGTTCAAGAACAAATTTGATTGGCAGGTTCACCTATGAGATTGCTCCAGTGTTCGTGCTGATGGAGCAGCTGACTCTGAAGAAGATGAGAGAGATGATTGGCTGGCCAGGTGGAGAAGGAGACGGACTCTTTTCACCAGGTCATTTTAGAAAGAACATCAATTAGTCCTCACCATAAACAGAACGCTGGACTTATTTTTTTAAGTTGGTGAAAGGGATTTTTTTGTGCTGAAGTGTCTGTTCTTGTTTGATAGGGGGTGCTATCTCCAACATGTACAGCGTAATGATCGCTCGCTACAAGTACTTCCCTGAAGTCAAGACCAAGGGCATGTCTGTTGCTCCCCGCCTCATCCTGTTCACATCTGAATACGTACGTGACCCGACACACACACACACACACACACACACACACACACACACACACACACACACACACACACACACATTCCAGTTATCTGGAGTCAGAGGATAATATCCACGGGCGATATGGATTCTGTGATAAAGAATATATCAAACAGAAAGTTATTGAGCTGTTTGTCTCAATATAAATCAGCTAAAACACTCAGGAACTCTGGTGTTTTCTGTCCTCTCCTCTCTTAGAGGGTCTCAGGATCAAATTATATTTTAATTAAACAGACTCCGTTCCTTCAAGGCTTTTAGAGTTTATCTTATTGAGAAAAAGACAGAGCTGCTTCAGTCAAGCCTTGAAAAGGTTTCGCTCAAACTTGTGGACAAGATGGAACAGAGCTTATCTGACTCACATTTTAGCTCATTATGTCAACTTCATTATATTTATTGGCTAATATTGATTATCTCTGGCAGCCGTTTTTAAATGGATCAACTCCAAAAGTTAATCAAATACTGCCTGTCCAAGAATATAGGCCTGCTGTCTTGAAGTTTCAATAAATTCTGTCTTGTGGTTCCTAAAATATTTTACTAACATAGTTTAGACCAAAAAAATAATACAAGCAAATGTTTAAACAAAGTTTTAGGGCCCAGACTTAGTGTTGGGATCAATCCGGTCTAAAGTAAATAAAAAAAATAACATTATGAGACAATATTTAAGAAACTGACAGGCCACATATGTGTGTTTTATAAATGTCAGTTGTCTCTGCTGCTGTCCTTCTTGATGTGTGTTTACTGTAAAATGAAATCAGTGAGAGTGGTCTCTCCAATAATTATTTCAAGAAAGTTTATTTTAAAATCCGTCCAGTGGTTCGTGGGATATTTTTCTATAAAAGACGAGAGCAAAAAAATAAAATAAAATAAAATAAATAAATAAATAAATAAATAAATAAATAAATAAATAAATAAATAAATAAATAAATAAATAAATACATGTAGATCAGAAGGGAGATGGTGGAGCCTTAATTGTTCTGTCACATTGACACCTATAATAAAGAGATGAGTTTATGATCAGGCCCGCTGCAGACAGCTGCTCCATCACGCGCGCAGTGCGCGCGGGATGACCGCGGGCCGTGTGACGTCACAGGCGGGCACTCCGGTGCTGGCGCGTGCCATTGTCCTGTTTGATTTTCCCACAGATCAGTTAACAACCCCTGATCAGACGTTTCAGACCAGCAGAGGCCCGTGGTGCTGTTAAAAAAAACCTCAGGATATTTAATTCATCATCATTCTGTTTGTGGCGAGGATCATCTTTTTTATTTTATTTTATTTATTTTATTCAGTGTTTTTCTTTACTTGTGTTGGAGTGATGGAGGTGTTTGGGGATAACTCGCTGTGTGACACCTTAGGGTTCCTGCAGAAGAACAACAGCCTGGAGGAGAGAGGGAGGCTCGCGGCCCAGAAGAACCTGCTCGCGTGCGACAACGGTGAGGGCAGGGACGCGCGCTTCCGCCGCACGGAGACCGACTTCTCCAACCTGTTCGCCCGAGGTGAGGCAGGCCGCCGGGCTGTTAACACAAAGCTCCTTCCTCCTAGAACCTAATCATCATTTCAGATTAAACAAAATGATCGTCTGGATAATTAAAAAGCCATCTTTATTTTCACATCTCTTGGTCAGTTGTCACCATAAAAGTTGTTATAGCCTTCATTAAACAGGCTCTTGTATCAATTAGTGCTGCATTGACTTTTCACCTTGTAAATCCCATATATAGGTTAGGTAATTCATGTCATGCAGTTTTGGAAATAATTATTATTTTTTTATTATTATTTTATTGTCAGTTGTAGGAGAAGCACATTGAACATCACCATTGAAGATACATTTTTATAAAGCTTGTTTCGTTGAAAATAATATAGGCCTGTTGTATCATAACGCACATATCTTGACATTATAATTGTTTTATTGCATATTTTAGCAAGAGGCACAACCTGAAAGTTGAAAATCTTAGCCACAACTAACTGCTAGGCTATAGAGATAGGAGAAAGAAAAGTAATTCAGTGGAACAAATTGGGGAAAAAATAAACTTATATTCATTTGTAAAGAATTGAAGCAATGACTTCATTCATTTTGTTTTTATTTGTTAATTTTTTTTCATTAATTGTAGATTATTGAGATACATTGTTTATTTTTGGTTTGGAAACATCCCATGTTGCTATTTAAGCTGAGCTTTAGTTTTTTTTTCTGCACAGGTGAGCTGTTTGACAGGATTAGCTTAAATAAGTTGAAATGGTCAGAAAATAAATTTAAAATCAACATTTTAAAATGTTGATTTCAGATTTGAAACGTGTAAATAAACAGCTCGTATCTGAATCAACAGCAGGTTTAATTTCTGCTATCCCCTCCTTTTTTTTTTTTTAGACCTCCTGCCGGCTAAAAATGGCGAGGAGCCCACCCTCCAGTTTCTGCTGGAGGTTGTCGACATTCTCACAAACTACATCAAGAAGACTTTCGATCGCTCCACCAAGGTGCTGGACTTCCACCACCCTCACCAGCTGCTGGAGGGGATGGAGGGCTTTAATCTGGAGCTGTCGGACCAGCCCGAGTCCCTGGAGCAGATCCTGGTGGACTGCAGGGACACGCTCAAATACGGAGTCCGGACAGGTGAGGACTCAGAACACAAAGACTGGCAGGATTTAAAAACATGACTGTGATTTATTATAACACAGACATAATACTCTAAAAAGCCAAGAAATAACAGATATTTACATTTTAATATTTATCATTTTAACTAAAATATAGACTTTAAAATTAACGAGTTTCTTTCATCTTTATAGTTATTCACATTTGAATGCAGCAATTCAACCGTATAAAGGTTTTATGACAGGACGCAGCTCTCCAAGATGACTGCCTTATTTATTTTCCCTCCTGTTAAATCAGATGGACCCCCCTCCCCATCTCCCCTGCCTCCCCCTCCCTCACCCACCCCATAGGACTTATTAAACCAAGTGTGGCCTGAGGGGGGTTTTAACAGGAGCTGTTCCAAGCTGTTAAAACAACAAAGCTCAAACTGTCCTGTGGGTTTTTACAGATAACACAGTAGCTCTGCTGCGTGTTCAGCTCAAATCTATTCAGGCCTAATTTCCATTTTCAGACATTCTGAGGATAAAACTTCATTCTGTGCAAGGCAACGACGTGGAGCTGTCCGCTTTTCTGAAGGAGAACGCTTCCTCTTTGTTTCTTCTCCCCTGTTAGTCTCTGCCAGTTTATTCAGCAAAACCACGTTAATTATTTTGTTGCTACAGTGATAATGTGGAGGATACAGATGAGAATATAACATTCACAGGCACTTGTATGCAAGACTGGCTCCAGGTGGGTGTCTAAATGGCTGTCATTGCTGTCTTTATGATAAATCAAACCAGATCCTCTGTATCACGACTGACCAGGGGAATAAAAAGTGAAATCTGGTCTTTTTTACACTGAATAAGTACGTAGGTCAGATATAATCTCCAAGCCACTGCGATCATTATATAATTATTTTTTTATCCCCTCTGTTGTTTACTATAAATCACCACATTCAGTGTTTCTGTTTGTGTTCAGGTCACCCACGGTTCTTCAACCAGTTGTCTTCAGGTTTGGACATCATTGGTCTGGCAGGGGAGTGGTTGACTTCCACAGCCAACACCAACATGTAAGTCACGCAGTCATCAGGTGTCTTTAACCATGTTTTATCAGAACATGTTTATGGTCAATACGTCACGTAGGGACAACTGAGATTTTCCATTAAAAGACCACTGGAAATTGCCCGCAGTTGTTATCGTTTTGCAGCGTGCCGGAAGTGTTTATGTTGCTTGCCTGAATTCCCTTCACCACCGGTTGCAGCAGTCGGGTCGGTTATATAAAGAACTGTGTTTGTCCTGAACACTGTGTATCGACAGATGCAGGGCTGCCACTGTGCTGTGGTGTACATCGGAGACTGCCCGGCCCCAGAGCCCCAGGGGTGGTTAGATTGCATATTGATTCCTGGTCAAACTTACATGGTGGCCTAGTCTGATAGAGGATATCAACCACATTTGCTTCACACACTCCAAACACACAGACTTTGTACACGTAAACCCAAATTTTGGAGTGATTGTTGCAGCAAACTCAAGTCAAATCAGAGTATTTTTTTTTTTGCAAATGTCAATAAACTGAAGATACACACTCACAAACATGAAGAAATATATTGTTACTGGGGGTAAAAGAGTCGAATATTTATTTATTTTAAATGTGTTAACTTTCAAAAATTATTGATATTTGTTTGTATTTCTATTCTGTCCTCATTATTTTTCTGCCAATTATTCACAAGTTGATTAATACATGAAATCATTCAATTTATGAAATAAAAAGTTACACCCATAAAACTTTCCGTAAGGCAACAGTAATCAGGCAAAAGTTGCACAAAAAGCAATTAATTTACTTTTATATAAAAACTGAAATGCATATTGTCATATGGCAGAAGGCAAATCTCTCAAACGCTCTTTGTGCTGAAATAATATCTGATCACAAATGACAGGTCAAATAAATATGTTGCTTTTTATATAAAGGATGCAAATTAAGGAGAGCATCAATTGGCAAGAGTTATTATTAGATGTAGGACAAGTTATTAACACAAGCGTCAAACAAATCCAAGATTATCATTGTACTAACTGTTGTCAAGTTGAATGATTATAAAATAAAAAGCTTGAACTTGAAAAACCTGTTGTCAACAACCTGCAGCAGCACCAGAGCTGAACAAAATGTAACAGGAGTGAGCGTGAGCAACAAAAGAGAAGATTTTTAAGCGTCCAGACGTTCCGTTTGTCTTAGTCCCCAAACATTAGGACAGGAAACTGCCCCCTACTTAGATAACTTTCCTATCTCATCTCTTGGTTGGAAGAATGCCCCAAGAGACAGAGCCATTGACTTCCCACAGTCAAACACTCTTCCGTAATGACACTCACACACCAGCCCTGGCTGTCCCAGATACAGCAGCGAGGCTTTCCAGCCCATTGACTGCAGGCTCATTGTGAGCTGGTCTTAGCAGATAGGCCAGCTGGGCCCCACACTGACACACAATGTCCTTGGGCTGCACAGAAAACCCAGTTTCACAGAGAAACTGGCCGCGGCAGCTCCCTGCAGAGGGCTGATTCTGGTTCTTTTGTCCCCGTGGACACAAACGGACTCGTCTGAGGGGTTCAAAGCAGAGTGTGGTTTATGGGTCAGAGGGCCACACACACACACACATGTGCACAATCAAACACACTCTCACGCGCATTGTGTGCCCTTGATGATGATAATAAGGGCATTTAGGGGCTGTCTCTGGAGAGAGGCAGGTGAGTGAGGGGTAATTTTCACTCTGAAAAGACCAATGATTGGCTCTGATTGTGATAATGATCACCATTATTGCCATTACAGCATGAAATGACTCAGAGCGAAGGAGAATTTTAAAAAGCTGTCCTGGGTTTGTCCTCTTTTTTTCTGCATCAGTTTTCAGTGAAAATAAAAGTGAGACATCTCGCATATCTAATATATTTGTTTTCCTTTCATTAAAATATTAGCAGCATGTTAAAGGCAATTATGTTTACAAAAAATAGACATAAAACATTCTGAAAATGGAGACATTTGCTGTTATAGATCAAAGTTAAAACCCCTCAGTCTTAAAGTGGCTTCACATTGACTGGGAGGTAATTTTGTAATTAAATCAAGACAAAGGTCATCCCTCAATACGACTAGTTTGATTAATTAATGACTTTGATTTTTCAGCCTCCCTTTGCTAAGATTTCAACCCATTTCTGTTTTCACTTATATCTTATATATATGATTTTTATTATTTTTTTTGTACCGTTTTCTGTGCACACTCCCCCTCATGTCACATATTCCTTCAGTTCATTGTTTCCCTACTCATCCCCCACCCTTAGAGGCTTTCTCCCCACACTACACACTGCTGCAGTGCTTGTTTAGGTATTTACTTGTTTACAGAAGACATACGGGAAACAAGAACATCCTTTTGTTGCGCTGGTTCTATGGTTTCAGCGTTGTAAGAATAGAAATGTTGTGTAACTGGCCTCTTTAGAGTCAGAGTAAGCAGGAATCTATCCTGAGGGTGGGGTTGTGTGTGTTTGCGCGAGTGGGTATTCCCTACTATGTGGGAACCATTTTTGGCATACAAACCTTCTTGTGGGGACCAACTGGTATTATAGGGACCTAAGCCTTGTCCTCATGAGGAGAAATACTGTTGTTGGGTTGGGGTTAGGTTTAGGACTAAGGTGTGAATTGAGTTTAGGTTAGGTTTAGAGTCAGGATTAAGCTGTAGAAATTAATGGAAGTCAGTGTAATGTCCCCATAACACTGTGCCAGTGTGTGTGTGTGTGTGTGTGTGTGTGTGTGTGTGTGTGTGTGTGTGTGTGTGTGTGTGTGTGTGTGTGTGTGNGTGTGTGTGTGTGTGTGTGTGTGTGTGTGTGTGTGTGTGTGTGTGTGTGTGGGTAGAAGACGATTTGTCGGCTAGAGCACTCATGCTTTTATGAATCTCTGCAACACATTCAACCTACTTTAGCCTCTCAAAGAGTTTTGAGCAGGTCAGGCGCACATCTATCGTTTAAAACTAAAGTAAAAACTTCAAAATCATTCTTTTGGAAACACAATTTTATGGGGCACAAAGTGCAAAACAAAATGTTAAAAAAAATTTCACCAACATACCTGTCATTATTTAGCACACATTTTGAGTTTTAAAAAAATTCCACTAACATTTTATTGTTATTTAGCTCACTGCTCTCCGTACATTTAGTTAATTTTTGCTAAATGTTAAATTTGAATGTTGTAAAATATATTTACATAATAAATCCTATTTATAATCCTATATATCCTAAATCTAAATGTTTAAATCTAAATGTAAAAGCTAAACCTTAAATATTGAAGTTAAACGTTAAAGTTCACATTCAGGTATTTTGGAATGGAACGCAGCCTTTGCTGTTGGTGCTTGGCTTATAGTATGATGTCATCATCCTGAGACAATAGCAACCGCTAGCGCGCCAATGCAGCTAAAGCTTCTCCACAAGACATCAAACTTGCAGTTATGGCTGGTGTTTGAGCTGCACTTCAAACACTTAGATTTAGGATTTAACATTTAAATATAATTTTTAACATTTAGATTTAATGTTTAGTAAAAATCAGTAAATGTAAGAACAGTGAGCTAAATAATGAAAAATATGAAACTTTTTAACATTTCATTTTACATTTGGCGCTCCATACTACGTATAGTCTTCTCTTTTTCTTTCTTTTGATATGCTAATAAAATGCCCTGTTTCCAACTTTGATTTTCTATATTCTGAGGCTGAAAAGAGGTTGTTATCTCTTTCAAACATCCCCTCTCTGGTTTTCATTCACACATCTACACATTCATTCACATTCACATCGCCAGAGTGACAGGGCTGACAGATAACCATCAGGGCTTTGTGTGCTCTAATTAAACTACTCCGTGATTTTAGAATTTCAATATGAATGTGTGCTGGCTGGCTCCTATCAGAGGCTTTTTAATTAGTCCAGTCAGCATCAGCTCCTTGTTAAGCTCTGTGTAGAGTTATAAAGGCTAATGCAAACAATGAAAACTATTAGGTGAGTGTGTCTGTGTGACAATGTGTAAAATGATGCAGGTTGTTCAAGAACAAATTTGATTGGCAGGTTCACCTATGAGATTGCTCCAGTGTTCGTGCTGATGGAGCAGCTGACTCTGAAGAAGATGAGAGAGATGATTGGCTGGCCAGGTGGAGAAGGAGACGGACTCTTTTCACCAGGTCATTTTAGAAAGAACATCAATTAGTCCTCACCATAAACAGAACGCTGGACTTATTTTTTTAAGTTGGTGAAAGGGATTTTTTTGTGCTGAAGTGTCTGTTCTTGTTTGATAGGGGGTGCTATCTCCAACATGTACAGCGTAATGATCGCTCGCTACAAGTACTTCCCTGAAGTCAAGACCAAGGGCATGTCTGTTGCTCCCCGCCTCATCCTGTTCACATCTGAATACGTACGTGACCCGACACACACACACACACACACACAGGACCATCACTTAACATGTCTGACAGAAACACACCTGACAACACGGACAAAAATGTGAGATGTATAGTGCTGATACACAACCTTTGCAATATTTGTACACACACACGTAACGCATAACACCTAACAGGAACTTTGTATTTTGCTAAAAACTGATAAATCAAAAGTCTTCTTATAATAATTCTTATTTTTATGCCAGTGTTTTTGAGTTGCACAACTGACACATATAAAGCAAGCTTTTGAAAATGAATTTAGCTCATAGAATGGTCAACCTTTCAGAAAGCAGCTGTTCTGTGGTGGAATAAAGGTTTGTTCACTGTGTCCCTGCAGAGCCACTACTCCATTAAAAAGGCTGGAGCTGCTCTCGGCTTCGGGACTGAGAACGTGGTCCTGCTGAGCACAGATGAAAGGTTTGCAGTGGATTGGCTGACTAACTATTGAGCTGTAGTCAACGTAACAAAGGAAATGTAAAAATACAAAATATAAAATATGATAATTGGTTGTTTTGCTTGTTTTCAGAGGGAGAGTCATACCTGCAGATCTAGAGGCTAAAATCATTGATGTGAAACAGAAGGTTGGTGTGTTTTTGTTGGTTTTTTTGTATGACAGACACGTCTACCATTAGTCATGTGTGTGATTCTGCAGGGTTACGTGCCGCTGTTTGTGAACGCCACAGCTGGTTCCACAGTGTACGGTGCATTTGATCCTATCAATGAGATCGCTGACATCTGTGAGAAGTACAACTTGTGGCTCCATGTTGATGTGAGTAGCTGACCCTGAGTCAGTCTCTGTTGTGTTGGAGTAGTCTCGTCTGTATTGTGTGTTTTCACGGCACTCCTTTGTCCCCTCAGGGTGCCTGGGGTGGTGGACTGCTGATGTCTAGAAAGCACCGCCATAAGCTCAGTGGAGTTGAGCGGTAAGAGGGCATCGAAACTTGAGACGTTGTCCTTTACGTGACTACATCGACTCATGAACATTTGGATTAAACTTTGCAGGGCCAACTCTGTCACATGGAACCCTCACAAGATGATGGGAGTCCCCTTGCAGTGTTCAGCAATCCTGGTCAGAGAAAAGGTAAAAACCAACACACATCCTAAAAATAACCTCCTATTGTCCAACCATTACATTTGAGATGTATATGGTTAGGCTGCATTTTCTTTATTTGCAGCGTTGTATAAAGTATCACAAAGTGATACTTCAGTAAAAGTACAAGTATCTTACCAAAACATTACTTTGGTAAAAGTTAAAGTCTCCTTTAGGAATATTACTTGAGTAAAAGTACAAGTATCTTATAAAACTTACTTTGGTAAAAGTTAAAGTCTCCTTTAGGAATATTACTTGAGTAAAAGTTTTAAAGTATCTGATATGTTTTGTACTTAAGTATTAAAAGTAAAAGTATTGATTTAAAATGAGCAGTTAGATTTTCTGTAATGACATTTATTAGGAGGTGACCTCCCCAAAAAATGCAAAAATGACTATATCGTCTTAAGATAATTAATCAGTGTGCATTGCCAACGCAATGCACACTATTGTGATTCGTTTCCCATCCAAGTCATCTCAACTTTGGCACGCTTCTCCTCCTGCATACTTTGTTCTAGAGCTGCCATTGTAATTTATATCTGTAAATCTCCTGTGCTAAATGATGGCTATGCCTTTTGGTGCCTGTAAAATGTATAGTTTTTGCAATATTAATGTTTAATAAGTTATAATGGCAGTCAAAGGAGCCTTGTATTGGTCCAATACTGCCCCCTGCTGCATCTACACAATATGGTTCTGCACCACAGTTTAATAATATTTAAACTCAGTAGTTCAGTGATTACAATATTAATGTGATTGTATTTTGATGTTTTACTGTAATATTGTGTTAATATTGTCCTATTGTTGTAAATTGCAGTTTAGTGTCAAAGATTGCATTGACAATGTGGCCTCTTTCTGCACACATACAAACCAACTCCTGGCAATCCCCTCTGCCACAGCTCCAATGGTCTAATGATTAATGCCATAGGCTTTCATGTGGGAGATCAGGGTTCAAAACCCAGCCACAGTAACTTTAACAGAAAATCTCTACACACTTTGTATGGTCACAGAATAATCCTCATTACAAACACTTGCTGACTTGACAAGCACAAGCTGGTAAAGAAATCACATTTGAACTTGCTCACAGGTCATTCTGCAAGTCCACTGCTGCAGGCAAATGAATGCTACGTGGCAATGCACACTTGTTTTTACATCGTAAAAACCCATGTCTAGTTTATGTTAAATTTAGGTTGCACTTGTTCAGCTGTTTCAGTTTATATACATACGTATATCAAGGCTGCCCAAACATTTTCCCCAAAATTAAAATCTCTCTGAGGGCTGCGGCCAAATGTAATAATATAATTCATGAAATACAAATACTTCTTAAGTACAGTCCTTTTATTTTAATGATTATGTCCTGCTGGAGTGTGACATGATTTGTTTGTGTACATTTTGTATATTTTTACTTCTCATTCAACCACAATTAAATTCACTCTATAGGAGGCACAATTTATATGGATAGTGTTTATTTTTTACAATAACAAGCTGGAATAAAAACAAGTAAAAAAAGTAATGACTTTCTACTTCTTGCCTTTTTTAAAAATATAAGGAGTAAAAAGTACAGATAACTGTGTGAAAATGTAAAAAGTAGAAGTAAAAATTAGGCTGAAAAATATTTAGTCAAATAAAGTACAGATACCCAAAAAATTCTACTTAAGTACACTAACAAAGTATTTGTACTTAGTTACTTTCCAACTCTGTTTCTTTGTTAGTTAGATAGTTAAACGCTGGAAGTGAGATTCTGTGGAAAAAAATTGGAAACAAATAATATCTTACTTGTTGTATTTCTGTCCAACAGCCTCTGTTTGAAGACATGGTGTTTATGTTAGACAGGACTGATGAGTTAATGGCTCGAAAGCAGCTGAGACCCAAGTGATACTGTTATGAAACTACCTCAATCTCCACGATTTCATATTAGCTTTTGATATTCTGATGATTGGAGCTGTTTTTAGACAGCAACATCTGCTATGGAAATGGGCTTGAGCAAACCATGATGAGATAATGGCTAACGGTTATTTGGCAGAAATACTCTGATTGTATCAACCTCAAGGAAACAAACTAAAAGCTGCTGAGAAACCGTGGCAGCCTTATCCTCTTTGTGTGGTGCACAGATAAAAGAATTTACAATTATCCAAAAATGTGTTCTTGCTCAACATAGCATGCTCAGACTTATAATATTTTACAAAGAAGATAATTACAGTGATCTGGCATGATGCTTTTAGCATCAAATTTGTCAACCATTCACCCACCCTGACACATCATCATTACAGGTATTTTAATACGCAAGACAAGGCAAATTTATTTGTATAGCACATTTCACACCAGAAGGCAACTCAAGGTGCTTTACAGAATAAAAGCAAGTTAATATGTAGGAACACACATCAAGATACAACATCAAAACGTAAAAAGTTAGAAGAACAATTAATTTGAAGCAATAGCATATAAGAATGTATTTAATTTGGATTTAAATAAAATCAGATCAGACTCAATCTGAGGTTCTCAGATATTGAGCTAATAAATCACTGCCACAATCCAATAAATACATACT